GGACTCCAGGATCATGACCCGAGCCGAAGGCAGTCGCTTGACCAACTGAGCCACCCAGGCGCCCCTATTATTTTTTTTTAAAGTAGGCTCCACACCCAGCATGGAACCCAGCGTGGGGCTTGAACTCATGACTCTGAGATCAAGATCTGAGCTGAGATCAAGAGTCAGATGCTTAACTGACTGAGCCACCCAGGCACCCCTCTTAATGTCTTATTTAAATGTGGAATACAAGCATGTTCTATAAAATTTCTTGTATATATAAATTCAGGTGGACTAATCTAGAGATGTTCAACTCTAGCACTGTTTTATTAATCACAATATTTAGTTATATTATTGCCTGGTTTCTAGATTTGCTAAGGTTAAATGTCTGTGAGACCACCACTTATAAATTGTGTATCCTTAACCTCTTTGTGCTTCAGATTCCTCATCCTTGAAGTGGAGATAATAGATGCCTACCTCAAAGAGTTGTGAAAGCTTACTAGATTAATATGCACAAAGGGATTAGAACAGTACCTGGCCCACAGTCAGCTTGTTGCATATGGAGCTTTAAACATATTCATACTCTAATGCTCATAACAACCCCTGAGATAGTTACTTTATATTATCCTGGAGGAGACTAGGGTTTAGAGAGGTTAAGTTGCCAAATTCAAGGCCAGAGCCTGAGCTGCCTATAATTTCATGCTAGTCAGTAGTAGTAAATATCAATTGTCACTCACCCCCAACCTAAGAAAATAGTATTCTGTGGCTATAAATGTATAAGTTTATCTGTTAATTTGTAGTGTGATTATGTGAAGATTCATATATTTCAAACATTATTTTCTGTTTCAGTGTATGATCTTCCGCAACGGCCTAATGATATTCAGCTCTTTTATGGAAACATGCATAAAATTATACTTTCAGTAATTGGAGAATTCAGAGATTCTGTGTCTAGCAGTGAATTCCTTCAGCGTTCTTCCAAAGCTGTCTTAGAATCTAAAAGGTAAAACTCAAACAAAACATCTTTCACCAGATTTCAAGATAATTTAATTCATAGTAGAGCTGATCTTTTCTCTGTACTTTTTTGCCTCCCAAAATGTTTATTTCATCTTTATATTTTAGTTTAAGTTGAAATAATTTCAAATTTACAGAAAAGTTTAAAAATAGAACTTACGCTACCTGCATTGAGATTCCTCAGTTGCTAACATTTTACCACATTGACCTTATTATTCTTTATGTGTATATACCTTTTTCTGAATCATTTAAGAGTAAGTTGTGGGCATGATGACCAGTTTGTCCTAAGTTTCCTAAAAACACAGACCTTCTCCTAAATAGCTATAGTCAACCCATCAAAATTAGGACCTTAGTATTGTAAAAATGCTAACATCTAGTCCACAGATTACATGCAAATTCCCCAGTTCCCTAATAAAGCCCTATATTTATAGTTAAATCAAAGAAATAAGCAAAAAACTTCCTCTTTGGTCCCAAATCTAATGTGAGATCACACATTACATTTAGTTAGCCTGTCTTCTTTACCCTTTTTCAATATAG